TCCTCTCTTGTCACTCGGCAGACGTTTTCTCCTTCTCTCTGACCGTGTTAATTATAATTTATAATAGTCCCTTCACAATAATTTTACGTTCTGTAAGTGACTTCACAGTTACCTAAATCGAAGAGTAAACTCACGTGCCGTCTGTATCTCTCGGAATGCTGTGTCTCAAGCCTCCTTGTTTGCCTGCTTGTCTTCAAGACACTCCCGCTAAAATAGGAACAGATTGAGGTTAGGTTGGGCTGTAACCAGGAAGTACCACAAGACTTGGAAATCGGCTGGCTTCTTGAATCGAAAAATTTAAAGCGTGTGTGGTTACCACTGCCCTCGTCCGGTGTGTTTACAGACCTTCGTTACTTACAAGTTTATATTTTACCGCAGAGTCGAAGAATATACACTAATTGATGTTTATTTTAAGTCGTACAACACTTAATTTCGAAATTACTTCTGTCTACTTTATCGAACAAAATGTCGAATGGTTAGCATTTCTGTTTTTTGTTCGGATGTTCCCGAGATCAAATCTTGGCCCTGATACGGGCTCTTCTGAGTGAGGTCTCTCGTTGGTTAATCGAGGAAATTTTCGGGATTGTATCTAGAATTAGACCATAACTGCTTCCTTTCCAATTAATTAATTAATTTTCCTATCATCTCAGTTGTTTGGCTGCTTCGTTGAATAAATACACATCTCTTAATCACTTAATTGTCCTATAATATTTACTCTGTTGGTAGGACCGGTTATCCGTACTGAGGTTTTACGAGTTTTTCCTCAGTCCCTCCAGACAAATACCGGGATAGTACCGGTAACCTAAAGTAAGGCACGACCGATTAATTTCACATAATTTTCATTACTACGTAATATACTCCTTAATCTCACAACGACGGCGTCGTTAAACACGCCATAAATAAATTAACAAGTAGCTAATTAATTCAAACAGTACCATAATAGTTTGTTAGTTATGCAGGTAATTTATGACAGTAAATCGGAATTTTATGTCAGTCATATCATTCATTATGTTTTGTCCCTGTGGGTTGGTATCGGCCATCAATTTTTGAAAGGCATTTGCGAAATACGTGTACGAAATGAATGCATGTATACACGTGTTCATATGTTTATACAGAGAACAGAAACTGTATTACGTCATTCAGCCATGGAATAATAAGGGCTCTCGCTGATTAGATAATAAAACCATGTAAATAAATTTACAAATTACGACGCCATTTTTTTAAATTCTGGATGAGTGCGACGCCTCGTAATATCGCGGTTATTTCATGTACTAGAAAATGTACGCGAAATATTTGTAGAATATTTATTATTCACTTATATTTTAAAAATTTAAAGGTATTAATTTTTTTTACTCTCTTATAAATGAGGTAAACAATCAGACAAGGACCTCGAATTTGAAATTTTATTAAAATCAGCGGTTAGTGAATGAGATGACGCTACATAAGAATTTCTTTTGGTTGTTGAATCATCTCTCTAAGACCCCGAAGACTTACGGAAAAGGTTTATTGTGCATATAATATGTGTTTAATTTTTATGTATATTTTTCTCTCCGATAAATATTTAGCGGGTTACGCATTATTATTATTTAGTGTTCTGTCTGAGGACAGGTCCATATGAACAGGATCCTTCCATCCTTTCTCGGACTGGGACCTGTTCATATACGTTCTTGGCAGATGCTCCAGAAGTGGTTTGCCATTGCCTTCTTCTGTGTGTGAATGGAGTAATTGTTGGGATGCCACGGAGGAAAACTCCTTGTTGCCTAGACCACGGCCTTGCCCAACACAAGTTATAAATTCGGACACCGCCGGGAATCGAACCCAAGACCCCAGGATTACAAGGCCAGCGTTCTAACCGCTAGGCTTTAAAATCTTCTTGTAAAGTGTCTGTTATTGTTGTTTAATTTTAATCCGTACAAGTTTCAGTTAAACTATAGACAGACAGACAGACACGAAAAAGCTTAGCTCATTTTTGCAAGTTTTCATTACGTACGTGTTAAAAATTATTTTAAGCTTGTTCGTGACATAACTTGGTGACGAGGTTGAGGGTAATGTCGATTTTTTTATTTTCGCTTAGAAATGCATCCTCGTGCTAATGGGTTCTAGGAACTCTGATATAGACAATGTTGACCAGACAAGCGAGCCCTACCTAATTTCCCCTGCATCTGGTGATAATTCACCCAAGTCGTGTACCGTCGATTCTGAGTACGCGAATGTTGACTTCAGTTCCTCAGTGCATGAAATGTCAGTATTTACTTGCGTACTGCACGCATAACCTATAAATTACTTCCCAGTGACTTGTGATGACAGTTGTAATATTTATCTGCGGTGACGTAAACTTTGCCCGAACTTTTCAAATTCCCTGTTAGCCAAACAATAGTTCGTGATCCGAATCTGACCTGCGACACTAATGCAATTCATTCCCTGTCTGAAAAAAAGTAGTTTATATATTACGATTATTATTAGCACGTGTAGACAGTGTGATGTCACCACATTTAAAGATTTTCTTGAAAAATTCCTATACTGAGCCAGGTTTATCGTTTATCTTGAAAACAC